TAACCAAACCAGCATTGCAAGAAATATTAAAGGGACTATTGTAATAATAAGAAGAAATAGAGAAAGAGAAACCTATGCATAATAGATTAAAAAAATGGCAACAAATAAGTATTTATCAATAACCATAAATGTAAATAGATAAAATGCTTTGAAAACCAAAAGACACAGAGTGGCTGAATGGATAAGAAAGCATGACCCCATATATGTGCTGTATACAAGAGACCCTCCTCACAACAGAAGACTCAGGATGAAAGTGAAGGGATGGAAAAATTTTTCCAAACAAATGAAAATGAAAAAAGCTGGGGCAGCAATAGTCATATCTGATAAAACAGACTTCAAAATGAAGGCCATAACAAGAGACAAAGAAGGCCATTACATAATGTTAAAAGATCAACCCAACAAGAGGATACAACCTTGGTAAACATATATGTACCCAATATGGCGGCACCAAAATATACTAAAAAAACTTATGGAGGACTCTAAGGGAAAGATCAACAGCAATACAACCACAACAGGAGACTTCAACGACCCACTGACATCACCGATAGATCTTCTAGACAAGAATTAACAAGGAAACAGAGACCCTAAATGATGCACTAGATCAGATAGATTTCATTGATATTTACAGAGAATTTCACCCCCAAACTGCAGAATATACATTCTTCTTCTTTTTCTTTTTTCAATTGTTTTTTCTTTATTATTTTAGAGAGAGAGAGAAACAGAGAGACAGAACATCGATGAGAGAGAACATTTACTGGCCACCTCCTGCATGCCTCCCGCTGGGGATTTGGCCCACAACCTGGATATGTACCTTGACCGGGAATTGAACTGGCAACCTCTTGGTGCATAGGTTGACCCTCCACCACCGAGCCACACTGGCTTGGCAAATATACATTCTTCTTAAGTGCACATATGACAGTCTCAAAGATAGACCAAATGTTAGGACACAAACTAAGTCTCTACAAGTTCAAGAAGACTGAAATCATATCAAGCATCTTCCTGGGTCACAGTGGCATGAAACTAGAAATTAATTATAATAAAAACACTCAAACACATGGAAGCTAAATACCATGTTATTAAACAATGAATGAGTTACCAAAGAGATCAAAGAAGAAATAAAAACTTCCTGGAAATTAATTTAAATGAACATACAACACAAAATCTATGGGACACAGGAACATCAGCCCCACAAGGTAATTTCAAAGCATTACAGGCCTACCTCAAGAAACAAAAAATATTTCTAACAGACTCTCTAACCGTATAACTTAAAAGGATTATAAAAAGAACAAAAGGAAAAACTCAAAAGTGGACTCAGAGTAAGGAAAGAAATAAAGATCAGAGTAGAAATAAATGACACAGAGACTAAAAAAAATATATATATAAAAGATTAATGAAACCAATAGTTGGTTGTTTGAAAAGATAAACAAGATTAATGAACCTTTAGCCAGACTTATCAAGAAACAGAGAGAGAAGGATCCAAATAAGTAAAATCAGAAACAAAAAAGAAGTAACAACTGACACCACAGAAATACAAAAGATTATAAGAAAATACTATGAACAATTATATGCCAATTTGACAACCTAGGCAAAATGGACAAATTCCTGGAATCATACAATCTTCCAAAACTCAACCAGGAAGAGTCAGGAAACCTGAACAGATCAATTAACAACTAAGGAAACTGAAGCTGTAATCAACAAACTCCCAGGAAACAAAAGCTTAAGTACAGACACCTTCACAGGGGACTTTTGTCAAACATTCAAAAAAAGAACTAACACCTATTCTCCTCAACTTTTCAAAAACAATTCAAGAAGAAGGAAGACTTCCAAGTTTTTTTTACAGGGCTAGTACAATCCTAATTCTAAAACCAGATAAAGACATTACAAAGAAAGAAAATTACAGGCTAATATCCTTAATAAACATAAATGCCAAAATCTCAACAAAATGTTAGCAAATTGGATCCAGCAATATATTTAAAAAACTATGCATCACAACCAAGTGGGATTTATCCCAGGGCTGCAAGGCTGGCACAATATATGCAAATCAATAAATGTGATATACCAAATAAAGAAAACAAAAGATAAAATCATACGATCATATCATTAAATGCTGCGAAAGCATTTGACAAAATTCAGCACCCATTTCTGATAAAAACGCTTAGCAAAGAGGGAATAGAGGGATCATATCTCAATATAATAAAGGCCATATATGAAAAACCTACAGCCAACATCATACTCAATGGGCAAAAACTAAAAGCATTTCCCTTAAGGACAGGAACAAGACAGGGAAGCCCACTATTTCTACTCTTATTCAACATAGTACTTGGAAGTCTTAGCCACAGTGATCAGACAAGGAAAAATAAAAGGCATTCAAATTGGAAAGGAGGAAGTAAAACTGTCATTATTTGCAGATGACATGATATTGTACATAGAATACCCTAAATACTCCATCAAAAAAATTAAAAACTACTAGATTTAATAAATGAATTTGGCAAAATAGCAGGATACAATATTAACATCCAGAAATTCATGGCATTTTTGCATTTACCTCCAGATAGAGCTGGAGAGAAGCAGGGGAGAGAAACATCAATGTGAGAGAGACACATCTAGTGGTTGCCACCCACACGACCCCAAACAGGGACGGGGACAAACTGAAATTGAGGTACGTGCCCTTAGTGGGAACCGAACACGGGTCTCTCTAAACCAACACTTTAATCGCTGAGCCAAACTGGCCAGGGCTTGATGGCATTCTTATACACCAATAATGAACACTCAGAAAGGGAAACTAAAAAAAAAAAAAAATTCCATTTGTCATTGCAACAAAAATTTTAAGATACCTAGGAATAAACTTTAGCCAAGGAGGTAAAAGATCTACAGAAAATAGAAAAAAGAGGAGATATAAAAAAGTAAAAGCATATATCATGTTCATGGATTGGAAGAATCCACATCATTAAAATGTCCATTCTACCCAAAGCAATCTATAGATTCAATGCACTCCCTAATGAAGTACCAACGGCATCTCTCACAGATCTAGAACAAATACTCCAAAAGTTTATATGGAACCATAAAAGACCCCAAATAGCCACATCAATCTTGAAAAAGAACAAAGTTGGAGGGATCACAATACTGTATATCAGGTTACACTACTGTCATTGTAATCAAAACAGCCTGGTGCTGGCACAAGAACAGGCATATAGATCAATGAAACAGAGAACCCAGAAATCGACCCAAGATATGTGCAATTAATATTCAACAAAGGAGGCAAGAGCACACAAAACATTAAAATCAGTCCTGGCTGGTTTGGCTCAGTGATTAAGAGTATCGGGCCTTGGACCAGAGTTTTGCGTTCGATTCTAGGCAAGGCACTTACCTCGGTTGCAGTTCGATCCCCGGCCCTGGTTGAGGTCCTGTGGGAGGCAACCGGTCTCCCACAGAGGGACATCGATGTGTCCCTCTCACATCAATGTTTCTCTCTCTCCCCTCCTCCCACTCTATCTGAAAACCAATGAAAAAATATCCTTGGGTCAGGATTTTGAAAGCAAGAGGGAGGAAGCAAGGAAGGGAGGGAGGAAAAAAAAGAAAAAGAATCTCTTACCCTTTGAGATGACATGGAGGGACCTGGAGAATATTATGCTAAGCAAAATAAGCCAGTCAGAGAAAGACAAGTATCACATGATCTTACTTACTTGTGGAATATAATGAACACAGTAAGCTATCAAAAAAAAAAAAAAGGATCAAGACATGGAAGTAGGAAACAGACTAACCTCAGAGAGAAGGGTGGAAGTGAGGGGTGGGAAGAAAAAAATCAAGGAACTTATATGCATATAGGCATAACCAATGGACACTGACAACAAAGTCGTGAAGGCAGGGTGGGTGGCAGGGGTGGGGAGGGTGATGTTAACTTGGGCATGTGCCCTGACCAGGAATCGAACCAGCGACTTCTTGGTGCATGGGTTGATGATCAACCACTGAGCCACACCAGCCGGGCTCTCACTGATGTTTCTGTCTCTCTCTCCCACTTCCTCTCTAATCAATAAAGAAAAAACACTTTATAAAAAATAAAATAGCCCTGGCCAGTTTGGCTCAGCGGTTAGAGCGTCAGCCTGCAGACCAGAGAGTCCTGGGTTCGGTTCCCGCTAGGGGCATGTACCAAAAAAATAAAAGTATGAATTAAATATGAAACACTCTGGAAGAAAATTTTATCACAAAATATTAGCATATTTTGAAATAAAAACAGTCATTCTGCTATTATACTTTTATTTTTGTAGATTGACTTTGAGTCTCAAAATGAATTTTGCAAGATAATTTTATTTTCATCAGCGAAATATCTGTTTACTGTTTAAGTTACAATATTAAAGTATAGATGCAAATATTTACTAAACATTTTTATTTATTTATAATATTTTTTCTTTATTGATTTTGGAGAGAGAGGAAGAGATAGAAACATTGATGAGAGAGCACATCAACTGGCCACCTCCTGCATGCCCCCCACTGGAGACTGGACCCACAACCTCGGCGTGTGCCCTGACTGTGAATTGAACTGCCAACCTCTTGGTGCATGGGTCGACACTCAATCAGTGAGCCACTCTGGCTGGGTTACTTATTTATTTTTTTAAAATATGTTTTTACTGATTTTTTTAAAGGGAGGGAGGGAGGAAGAGAGAGATAGAAACATGGAGGTGAGAGAGAGACATCAATCAACTGTTCCTTCATACCTCCTAGTGAGGATCAAGCCAGCAAGATAGGCATGTGCCCTGACCAGGAAAGAAACGAGGACTTGTCAGTCCATGGGACGACACTCAATCCACTGAGCCACACTGGTGGGCGTAAACATTTTTATTTATATAGATGCAAATCATTTTATTTCTAAGAGTTTAATTCTATTTAGACTCATTAGAATATTTATATTTAAATACTCCAATATAATCTATGTGTATTAAGCAAGCAGGAGCTCCTCAAATGAAGAAAAATCTCATTTGGTTTTACAAATACTAAACATGATTTTAAATGTAAAAAATTGAGCTAAAAAAACAACCCAAACCACCTGTTTTTTTAAGTCACTCCAACCATCTACTTCTAAAAGTCCTTATCAAAGCTATTTTTTAAAGCTCAACATTTACTAACTCAACAGATGGGTTTTTTAAATGAGGAAACTAATTTTACTTTCAATTCAGTGATTATGTACTCAACTGGTACTTTAAAAAAATAATTTTAGAATATGTGAAGACTGAATTAAACCATCTTCAACATTTTCCCAGGACTGTTTGCTAACTGGCTTGTTTTTACATATGAGCTTTAAACATGTCTTCTACAGGTAGTACAGAAACATAATTATTTTCAACTATAAAAGCTATCAAGTAAACTCCCAATGTAATATCACTACTTTTTCCTTCTCTTATAAGAATCATTACTGTGAGTTCGAACTCGCTGGTACACAGAGGATGCTATTTTCAAGTTGTCTTTCTTTGTGAATATCTTCTCTATTGCTCCAGGTTTCCAAAGTAACAACTGTGCATCTTCTCCTCCAGTTAGCAAAGAATCATCCTGCATATTCCAATAGAAAGAACGAACTGTAGCAGTATGACCTTCCTGAAGGCTGGTCACATGGATCAATCCTGATGTAGTACAGCTCATTAAGTGAATAATTCCTGTGTTTGTTCCTCCAACAATAAATAATTTGTCCATCTTTTCATGATATAGGCCACCAATCAAATAATCCAAAACACCTCCTTTCAAATTCATCACTTCTCTAACATCCTGGATGTTCAAACGTGTAATTGGTTCATCAGTATCCAGATGATTAAGATCCCACCAACAAAATCCTTCATCATGTGTCATGCAGTATATCTGTTTATAATCTTTCCCAGACCAACCAATACAGCTAACTGATGAAACTGAGTTACAAGTTGTAACCAGTGCATCTTCTTCATTATTAACACTAATATCAAATACATTTACCAAGCCATCTGTTGAACCTGAGACTACCATGTTGGGATTGCTGGGATGGAAACATACTTGAGTGATATCATCACTATGTGTTTCTGAGTATGCACCAAGAGGGTCTTTAGTAGTAGACAAATCTTGAGAATTAATTCTTGCATCCCAAAATACCAACAATGCATCATCATCAACTTTTTCTGTACCAGCACAAAGGACATGATCATTACAGTTGATATCAAAACTGATAAAAATATTGGAAGGATAACCCTTGAACAGCTGGACAGGCTTTTCACTGGCTAATCGAGCATCCCAGCATTTTACAGTGCTATCTGTACATGATGAATATACAATGTCACAAGAATTTGCAAATTTGACTCCATTAAGAAATCCAGGATATCCATTAAATTCTCGTATTATGTTTAACCTTTCTTTATCATATATTCTGATTATTCCATTCGAACATAAAACAGCAACCAAGTTTTCTTTTTCTGTTTGTACAGTCTTGGATGTGTCTATGCCAAGCAGGTAAGTAGGCTCTTCAGTTCCTGAGGAACGCTGAACAATGTTCAGATTAGCAAATTGATCCCCAATCTTCTCCATATTGGAGTGGCATCCAAGAGTAGTAAAAATCTGTAATAAAAATATAAAAATTAAAATTAAAAGACTTCCGGTCAAGATGGTGGCATAGGTAAACATGGTAGTGTCCTCCCACAACCACATCAAACTTACAACTAAACTACAGAACAACCATCATTCAAAACCACCTGAAATCAAGCTGAATGGAAGTCCTACAACAATAGAATTAAAGAAGCAGCCACATCAAAACTGGTAAGAGGGGCCCTGGCCGGTTTGGCTCAGCGGTTAGAGCGTCGGCCTGTGGTCCGGAGAGACCCGGGCTCGGTTCCCGCTAAAGGCACGTATCTTGGTTGCAGTTTGTCCCCAGCCCTGGTTGGGTCGTGTGGGTGGCAACCACTCGATGTGTCGCTTTCACGTCGATGTTTCTCTCTCTCTCCCTCCCACTCTATCTGAACAAAATACTGAAAAATGTCCTCGGGTGAGGATGAAAAAAACAAAACAAAACTGGTAAGAGGGGCAGAGGCGGAGGGGTTGGCCCCACACCCACGTGTGGCAAATAAAAATCAGGAGGCTACCTCAGCTGGGAAGGTCCTCCCTGAGGCACCAGGCACCCCGCTCAGGGTTCCAGTGCCAGGAAGAGAATTCCCCGTAATTTTTGGTTGGAAAAACCAGCGGGAACTGAGGCTCAGGGAGGCTGAGGTAGCTGGAGCCCCAGGCAGCTCCTCTTAAAGGGCCCACACACAGACTTATCGGACTCACTCCCTCTAAGATTGGAGGGGAGGCAGCTCGAGGGGCACCAGAGACATACAGGGAAGAACTGAGCTGTTTGGCACTGGAGCAAGGGCTGGAGAAGGGGCTTTCTCCGGGACAAACTGCAGTCAAGAGGCCTTTGTTCCTTTGGTGAGCCCTTCCCTGAGGCGGCAGGGAGCCGCCATGTCTGGGACTCCAGCAACTTGGCTCACACTGGTAGCCCCACCCTGGGGATTCCCTGAGGCCCCGCCCCACTCAACTTTCAGGCCCACCCAAGCTGTTGCCACTTGCTTAACCATAGGATTGGCCTGTCTTGGATCCTGCTTCAGGTTTTCCTAAATTCCTTCAAACAAGCAGCATGTGGTCTCAGATAGCCCCATACCTCCCGTTAAGTAATATACTGAAACAAACGCAGGGAGGCAGCCAAAATGGGGAGACAAAGAAACAGGTCCCAAATGAAAGAACAGAACAAAAACCCAGGAAAAGAACTAAGCAAAATGGAGATTAGCAACCTAACAGATGCTGAGTTCAAAATACTGCTATAAGGATGCTCACTGAACTTAGTGAGAACATCAGTGAACTTAGTGAGAACATCAACGAACTTAGTGAGGGCCTCAAGAGCATAAAAAAGGACCAGTCAGAAATGAAGGATGCACAGTCAGAAATAAAGGCGGCACTAATTGACATAAAGAATAATTTACACAGATTCAATAGTAGAGCAGGTAAAGCCAAGAAGCAAACCATCGATTTGGAATATAAGGAAGCAAAAAACACCCAGTCAGAACAGCAAAAAGAAAAAAGAATCCAAAAAAATGAGGATAGGCTAAGGAGCCTCTGGGACAACTTCAAGCATGCCAACATTCGCATCTTGGGGGTGCCAGAAGAAGAAGAGAGAGAACAAGAAATCGAAAACCTATTTGAAACAATAATGGCAGAAAACTTCCCTAACTTGGTGAAGGAAACAGACATACAAGTCTAGGAAGCACAGAGAGTCCCAAACAAGATGAACCCCAAGAGGCCCACACCAACACACATCATCATCAAAATGCAAAAAGTTCAAGGCAAAGAGAGAATCTTAAAAGCAGCAAGAGAAAGGCAGCTAGTTACCTACAAGGGAGTTCCCATAAGGCTGTCAGCTGATTTCTCAAAAGAAACTTTGCAGGCCAGAAGGGAGTGGCAAGAAATATTCAGAATGATGAAAAGCAAGAACCTACAACCAAGTTTACTCTATCCTGCAAAGCGGTCAGTTAGAATCAAAGGCCATATAAAGACTTTCCCAGACAAGAAAAAGTTAAAGAAGTTCATCACCACTAAACCGTTATTATATGAAATGTTGAAGAGTCTTTTTGAAGAAAAAGATAAATATATGAACAAACCAAATGGCAATGAATACATATCTATTGGCAATGGATTGTACAAACAAAATGAACAAGCAGAACAGAAACATTCTTATAGATAGAGAACATTTTGTTGGTTGCCAGATGGGAGGGGGTTTGGGGGAATGGGTGAAAAAGGTGAAGAGATTAAGAAGATCAAATTGGTTGCTAGACTGACAAACCTCAAAGAGAAGGGGGTTGGGGGGTGGGAAGAAATAAACCAAAGAACTTATATGCATAACCAATGGACACAGACAATAGTGTGGGAAAAGGCAGGAGGGGGTGGGAGTGGGGAGGAGGGGGTCAATGGGGGAAAAATGAGGAACATCTGTAATACATTCAACAATAAAGATAAAAAACAAATTAAATCCTCAGCTTTTCTAAAATCATAATGAAATCAAGAACATTTTCTTCTGGAGGCTGACATAAAACAACCGAGATAAAAATCTATTTTAATATTGTAATCTTTTCCCTATCATGATGTAACTGTTACCTCCTAATTCACTCTTGAACACCAAATCTACCACATACATTTTGTGCCAGTAAGAGAATTTAAAAACATGTACATACACTGTTGACTAATTGGTTTTTAGCTCAAACTCAATTGGTCCTACTCATAATCCTCAGCATTAGTCAGGATCTCCCCTTTGGATTCTTCTGCACTTTGTCCCAGCTGCCTTATACAACTTTAGAATCTAAGCATAAATGTGTACACAGAAAAATGGTCCCCTCAAAGAGGACCATGACTTAATCCCTGCAACTTTTCAATATGTTAGGTTACATGTCAAAGAGGAATTGAGGTTACAGATGGAATTAAGGTTGCTAATCATTTGACTTTAAAAGCAGGGAGAGATCACCTAAGGCAACAGAAACAAAGGAGAAAATGAACACATGGTACTACATCAAACTCAAAAGCTTCTGCACAGCAAAAGAAACCACCAAAATGGAAAGGCAACCCACTCTATGGGAGAGCATAACTGCCAATGATATATCAGATAAGGGGTTAATTTCCAATATATAGAGTGCTCGTACAACTCAACAAAGGGAAGACAAAGAACCCAATTGAAAAATGGACAGAGGAGCTGAATAGACACCTCTCCAAACAGGACATACACATGGCTAAGAGACATATGAAGAAATGCTCAATATCACTAATCATCAGAGAAATGCAAATGAAAACAATAATGAGGTATTACTTCACACCTGTCAGAATGGCCGCCATCAACAAATCATCAAACAAGTGTTGGCTAGGGTGTGGAGAAAAGGGGACTCTAGTACACTGCTGGTGGGAATGCAGACTGGTGCAGCCACTGTGGAAAACAATATGGTGTTACCTCAAAAAATTAAAAATTGAATTTCCATTTGACCCAGTGATCCCACTTATAGGAATATATCCTAAGAAGCCTGAAACACCAATCAGGAAGAATATATGTACCCCCATGTTCGTAACAGCACTGTTTACAGTAGCTAAGATCTGGAAACAGCCCAAATGTCCATCAGTAGACAAATGGATAAAAAAAGCTGTGGTACATATACACAATGGAGTACTATGCAACTGTAAGAAAGAAAGATCTCTTATCCTTTGAGACGACATGGAGGGACCTGGAAAGTATTATCCTAAGCGAAACAAGCCAAACAGAGAAAGACAAGTATCATATGATCTCACTTATTTGTGGAATATAATGAACATAACAGTCTGAAGAATGGGGTAGTTCCAGAGACGTGGAAGTGGGGTACAGACTGACAATCCCCAGAAGAGGGGGTGGTGGGGGAGAGATAAACCACAGAACTTATATGCATGTATGCATGAACAATGGACATGGACAACAAAGCTGGGGACAGGGCGGGGAGGGAGGGGGAAGGAGGAACCAGTGGGGTAAAAGGAGAAACATCTGTAACAAAAATAAATTAATTAAAAAATAAAAATAAAAACAATAAAATAAAGACAGGGAGATTGCCCTGGCCAGTTTGGCTCAGCTGTTGAGTGTCGGCATGCGGACCAGAGAGTCCTGGGTTTGGTTCCCGCTAGGGGCACGTACCACCAAAAAAATAAAAAATTAAATAAATAAATAAATAAATAAATAAATAAATAAAAGCAGGGAGATTAACCCTGGTCAGTTTGGCACATTTAGTTGGGCTTCATTCTGTACACCAAAAGGTCACTGCTTCAATTCCAGGTCAGGGAACATTGTTGGGTTTTGGGTCAATTCCAGGAAGGGGGCATGTGTGAGGCAGCTGATTGATATTTCTCACTCACATTGATGTCTCTCTCTCTCAGTCTCCCTCTCCCTTCTCTCTCTAAAAGTCAATTAAAGGAAAGATTTCCCTCTTTAAAAAAATATATAAAAGGGGAAGATTATTCTGGATTATCTTGGTGGTGGGCCCAATGTCCTTAATAGTAGAAAGAGAAGATGAGCATCAGAGGGAGATGTTACTATCGAAGAAAGGCATGTTTAGTCAAAGGAGGTCAATTAGTGGGTAGGCAGGTGGGTAGCCTCTAGAAACTGAAAAATGCAAGGAAATATCTTCCATTAGTTCCTCCAGATGGAAATGCAACCCTCAGAATTTGTCTACTACTAAAGACCCATTTGGTGCATATTCAGAAACACATAATGGTATCACTCAAGTCTGTTTTGTATTTCTAACCTCCAGAACAATGAGATAATAAAAGTGTGTTTGTTCCAAGCCAACAAGTTTGTAGGGATTTATTACAGCAGCAATAGGAAACTAATACAACAGAAATTCCGGTATGGAATTTTGGAGAAGTAATCCTCAGGCAGTAGCAACTCGTAAATATTGGAGCTGGAATTTGAACGTAGGCATTCTGGCTTCAGGGATTATGCTCTTAACTACCACACTAGGTTGCCTCTCAATGGTAGGTCATATGTACAGTGATACCTCGGTTCTCGAACATAATCCGTTCCAGGA